TGTCAGGGCTGATGTTTACATGGTATTAAAACCCATGTTCGAGAACAGTAGGACTAAACTCCTGGTTTATTCATATGTGAATTTAATTTTTTCTTATTTGCAACCTCGCATAATCATTCATATGACTATTTTTGGTAAGGGTGGGCATCGCAGTCACAGCCTCTCAAAAACAGCACCTTTGTCATACTCATTTATCCAAGAGTCTTACAATTTATGACGAAACGTGATTGTCATGAAGCAGGAATTATATTCAATAGTTAGGCATGCACCAATACCATGAGGAGCCTACTTCCCAGTAATTTGGCCGACATGACAAAAAATGAGGAAAAAAATAAATTGCGGAGTTGCTAAGCCAGTTCCACTGACTTCCCTGTTGTAATCCCTGGGAAAATACTTCCTCCCTGAAAGATGTTATGTGGGTGTGCTTGAAAACATCTGAGACTCTCAAGGAACACATTCTTTTTGTGGCATACATCGAAACGTTTCTAAAAGTGATAAATGACAGTTTCACAGCCACCTATCCAAATTTAAACGGAAAACAGAACAATCCTTTCTCAAACAGATGAAGGCCAAGTTATCACACCTCTCCTTCAGCTTGAGGCACTGTCATTTAAAAATAGGACAAGACAACAACATCTCTCCTTTATTCTACTGTACCAGTCATCTCCTGCTGATTTCCTAACAGAGCTCTTCCCCCTACCCTCCCAGGAACATGACATTAGTCACACATCATTTTGCCTAGATCCTGGGCCACCAGAACAAAAATACAGAAGGCAATACATTCATTTACAAGAAAGGCCTTACTGTTCTCTTTCATCTTGTGTAAAGGCCTAACTGATCGTTTACCCCACTGTCATTAGAGAAAGGCAAAAGGTTTTTAGTTTAGCACATCGTCCACAGCATTCTGTGAGTCTGAAAAGCACTTTTGGTTAAGAGTTATGCAGCAACTCTATTCGGAATCTCTTTGCTCTTTTTTTTTTTTTAAATAAAAAAATTATATGCAACTTAAAATGCAGCGTTACGGCCAAAGCTTGCACTGGTTTTGAAGCCATCTTTAGAAACTCTATCAGCGACAGTAGATAACTTCATCCTTTTCAAAGAAATATGTTTCATGCCGGTAGAAGTCATACTTAATCCATGAGTTTCACAGTTAAATAAAGAAGTAAAACCAGGAATACTGCAGGTTTTATAGCCGTTTTAACACTGTGGGAAATAAGACCTGACCAGTTTCTAAAACTAAATACTTCATATGCCCCTTAGAAAAGTATTCAAATATATGGAATTGTACAGCATACACATAGCACCTCAGGATATCTGCACACCACTAACAGCTATAAAGCTGTATCGTAGCATATATGGCTCCCAGTAAGTCCTGAAGTGAAGCCAAGAACAACTCGACATACTAGATATATATTCTGACATGACTGGCCCTGCTGCTCCAGCACAAACCACATTGAGAAAGCAGTGTTCTCACAGTCGCAGGTCTGCCTCCCTTGAACTTGAGACTGAAAAAGGGAAGGGGTATTTACAAGGCCAACCTCAGAAACCAGAGGGATGCCAAGGTGCATAAAACTACAGTTTAACAACTGGCAGTCACAGACAAACTACCTAGGACTAACAGGCTCCAAGACTCAACTTCCAGAAATAAATACACACACACTCTCTCTTTATAAATATATATATTTTCATAGCTGTAGCTATGGGTTTCTAAAATGAGCATCAGTTTCCAAATAAGTCTCCTTTTCAAGAGAGTATTTTTTAAAAACACTAAAGAACACTGTACAGAAAAAGGCAACAGAAAAGAAAACCACAAGACGACAGACGTAAATGGTGCGCGAAAAAATACGACAGACAAGTAAAGGCAGCAAGGAAAATACCACTGATAGATGGAGGCAAGGTAAGAAGTGAGCCTGGTACCTAGCAACAAAGTGATATACGCAGATTTGCTGCTAGGATTTCCAGAATTCTGCATCTAACTCCGTAAAATACAGTAGGAGAGTGTTAAATGATTCAAGCGGAAAACTTATAAACAGCGTTAAATGGAACAGAGGTTTGGAATGCCTAGAAATCAGCTGGCACCCAGAAATCATACTTACATTATTCTTCTGGCAAATAATTTCCTGGAATAAAAAAAGAAGAAAAAAATTAATGTTGATAGCATTGAACAATTACTAGGAAAGATATCTGTTCAGTATGACTTGCTAATATTAACACTTACAGACACATAATAGGAAAAGGCTGGTTGGTAGATGTTTTCTATGCCTGCCAAATCAATATAAATCAAGTATTGTCTCAGGAGAGACAAAACAACTATGGAACCAAGTAGATACATACTTCCTATATATATATATACAGGTATATATGTAGCGTGTGCATCCATATACACACGCGCACATGTACATACGTCTCCCTGCATAAATTTGCCTAGAGGAAAGCTGTGCAAAATTGGCTATTAATACACATGCACTCATATTTGAGAAGTTAAGTCTTGTAAGTAACATTTTGCTGCCAGCAGAAGACACTGTGAAGAATAGTAAAAGCAGTATTTCTACGAAGTTTTAAAATATTTCAGAACTGGTTGAAATTCACATTGCTCTAAGTCTGATGCAAAGAATGAATCTTCACATTTTAAATTAAAAGTTTCAGACAAGAAGCAGCCCAAGCACACATGGATGGAAAGAGCTGGTCCTTGCACTCTAATCGGGGTGGTACCGCCTACTTGTGGACAGTGCCCTTGGTTTCAGGAAAATCTGTCAGCAAGTTCTGCTCCCAGCAACTGATAATCCTGCCAGATTTATCAGACAACTACACTACCCCTCTGCCACTGGGACTGCTAAGCAGCTTCACCTACACAACCGCATTAAAAGCAAACACAGCATCAAACCACGGCACTTCCTACTTCCCATGTTGCGCAAGTCAGACCTCCATAAAACTGCTCATCCCCCTATTGAGGGGACATGTTTAACATATGACTGCTGCTAGCTTTCTAAGTGTGGGACATAAACATGTTTATATATATAAATATACAAACCTATACATGTACACATATAGAATCACAGAATGGTTTGGGGCGGAAGGGACCTTTAAAGATCATCTAGTTGAACACCCTGGCATAAGCAGGGACATCTTTCACCAGATCACATTGCTCAAACCCCCATCCACCCTGATCTGAATGTTCATATAGAGAAATATTCCACCAGCAAAAGTTTACCTACATTGCTTTGTACCCCAGTTAAATCACGTGCTACAGTTCGGTATTTCCTGCTTTTCCACGATCATTTTCAGTTTTTGAATTCACCACCTTCTATAGAAGATCAAAACAGCACACACACTCCTGCATTGCTACTACTCTATCTGGTGGCTGTAACAAATACAGGAACAAATATCGCCTCGGAAGATGCTCAGGCATGCCCACAACTACACAACTACGCTTTTCAGGCAATCAATAAATTAATATGGAAGGTGTCTTGCTCTCTGAACACTTTCCTGAAAACTATCAAAAGCAGAAACACAGGCCCAGCTCAAAGCCAAAGGAAACCCAAGGGAGTCTTTCAGTGGGTGCTGTACCAGTGGCAACTGGGACATCCAGGTCTCCCTTTGCAGAACCGGGCTTCCGCTGACATAAGTGAGAAACCTGCACATGCCCATTTGCAAAGTTCAGCTCCTAAACTAGCAAAAAGTTCTCCCAAGTGCCTAAGGAAGCCTGTGCCTCACTCCAAATGATTTTCAGTGGGAGTTGGGTATTTGGCTCCTTACCCAGTACAAGTGCTCTGCTTATACTGTAGATCATTGTACTTGCACAATTGAATTCAAGCCACAGATAGGTCTTTTGTTATTAGCAGTTTTATTTTTAGGGTTTTTATCTGTATACTCTTTGTGTTGCAAAAAGAAAGGAAATAATTGGATTGCAACCAGTCCAGTTGGCCAAGAAAATCTGGAGGGAAGAGCAGGGCAAAGAAACTGATTTACCCGAGGTATGTGCCTCCCAATAGAGGGCCAAGCTGCAACCAATGGGACAGAATCAAAAAACAAATATCCTGCACTAGCCAGAAGCAGTGGAAGCCAACCCTTCATGAGAGGAGGCAGTGCCCAGGCTGCAGTCTGACTCACCAAGCTGCTTACTAAAATGCTTCTTTACAGCAATGCCTAGAATGGAAGTGCAATAGCACAAAACACCTCCTCCTCAGAGCCAATGAATTTGAGGGAGGGGAGGTAATTGAAAAGAGACTGCTGTTCAAATTGCCTGCCCTCCCCCATCCCCATGAAAGTTATTAAACCTTCAGTAGGGCTGCAGGAAGAGCAAGTATCAAATCCTTGGCTGACACAATTCACAGCCCCATAGATTATCTTAAACCACCATCTTGCCTTAAACCAATGTACCATACCAAATTGTGGCCCTGAGCTGCAGGCACAAGTTTTGTTTTTACTAACTCTGCTATGCTGCTGATAACCTCCAGCACAGCAATCCTGCAGGTAGGTGATGTGAACAGCTGTAGCTCAGCAAGAAATACCACAGGCCATCTGGGGCCCCATCAGGTCTGGCCAGAAAACTGCTACTTTACACAGAAGCTAAGTCTTGAGGATTATTTTGCTGTCCCATTCACACTTCCATTCTCATCCAGTCGTCATTTCTATGACAATTTACCCCAAACACCAGTAATTCCCTTAAATGACAAACCCGTGTATTTTAACATTAATAATATAAAATTATTAATTTCTTGTCCGAAATTTGTCAAACTTCTGTTTCTATGAAGAGCCATTTAACACCTAGGTATTTAACAGACTGTGATAAAGTGATCAAATCTTTATCATGGGAAAAATAAATGGAGTTTTTCCAGCAATTTCACTGTGGCCGTGTTTTCCAGCCCTCAGAATATTTTTGCTGTTGCTTTGTGAACCACAAGTGGCATTTGTATTTCCTATGGAAACAGAGAACCTGTTTCAGGAGTTGGACCAACTGGGACTTCCCCAACACACCCTATTTTTCCATTCAGAGCTACCTTCAGTGACTGCAGAGACTCCGCATTTGTATCACAGTAGAGGATAATGTTGTTAGCCATGCTGAAGCTCTCCCTGACTCCCAGGTGGTAGAACAGAGAAGGCTGACGGAAGGCATCACTCATCTCTACGACAGCAATATCTGTAGAAAGAAACAAAAAACGGTCAATGCCACACATTTCTGACAGCCAAATACTTCTACACTGTCTCTTCACACAATGCGCTTTGATAAGACAACCCAATTTTAAGTAGGAAATAGAGATCTAGAGAGATTTCCCCATTCTAGCTGTTGCATCTGAATTTTTAATATAGTCAGCAGGATGTGGTTTAATTTTTTTTTTCTCTTTTCATTCTTTCTTCCTTTCCCCCTCCCCCCTCCGTTTTTGGTTTTTTTTTTTTCCTTTAAATGAGACCTTCACTTCCTCAGGTAAAACCACCACTAATCAAGAAAAGGCAAAAAGTTAATTTGGTGCCTTGGAGGATAAAATTTGTTTGGTTAACCTACAGGTGATGATTGATGACCTTACAGAAATAAAAGAAAAAATTACATTGAATGGGTATTTTCACCCTCTTTGCAAGTTGCAATAAAAATTCACAGAATCACAGAATGTTAGGGGTTGGAAGGGACCTCGAATGATCATCTAGTCCAGCCCCCCTGCCAGAGCAGGACCACCTAGAGCAGGTCACATGGGAATGGATCCAGGCAGGTTTTGTATGTCTCCAGAGAAGGAGACTCCACAACCTCTCTGGGCAGCCTGTTCCAGTGCTCTGTCACCCTCACAGCAAAAAGGTTTTTCGTTATGCTAATATATTTACATCATTACAGAACACACTGTATAGATTCTTTATTAGAACTTTGGAAGGAAACAGCTGTAAATTGAAAGAAAGGCAAAAGTAAAGTTCTCATATAAATTACCATTCAGACCTATGTTGCTTCATATACAGAGAGACAGGGCGGGGGGGCGGTGCGGACAGATGACAAAGTACAGCAGAAGAGAAGGAAAGGGGGAGTGAATACGAAGAGCCATAGAAACCTCCATATAAGTAAGAACTTTATTGTGCAGAGAATTCTGTTCATAATAAAATTTCCCTGTGTGAACAAGATTAAGCACAAATGCTCAGAGAACAGGGAACACAGTCCACAATTTCTCTTAAAACATGTGTTTCACCTGCCCAGATTCACACCAAAGTAAAACAGGAGGCAATTACAACGTGTCAGCAGAAATAGTTAAGGCTTCTATTGTAAGCATATTTCCACTGCAAAATGCTTGTGGGATCAAGAGAGCAAAACAAGAAAACTGACACATCTCCACATCTCCTGCAAACATCTTTCTGTCTCTTCACTCAACTCAGTTCTTTCTCTTCTTTCAGGGGGAAAAAAAAAAAAAGAAAAAAAAAAAAATCAGAGAAATGTACTTCTGTTAAGAGCAGAACAAAAAAAGCAGTCTGGTTTCCAGTGTCTCTCCCTGCTTTCCCCTTCCTGCGGGTGCTTTTATGACAGAAAAGCCAGACAGCAAGACAGGCAAAAGGCTTACACACCCTAAAGTTTCTTTAATTGTTCTGATAAGAGATTCTACCTCTAACCACAACTTTTCACCTTGCCTATTTACTTAGATCATCAACACTGTAATGAAGATATTCAATAAAAGATAAGCCTGGTGGCCATGTTCTCAACTGGGAAGGCAGTATAAGGGTGTCTCTCCAACCTGCTGGAAAGCAACATCTTTGAGACATCTACTCCTCGGTCATACTTTACTGTAACTGGCCTACAGACTTAGAAATTATCAAGAAGATGGAAAAAAGGATACACACAGAGAGATGAACAGACACTAGCCTATACACGTTTAGGCTCTTCAAGAAACAAGTTTAAAAGAGAGGAGACATGGTACAATTATGGTATTAAAAAAGGGAATTTTTTTCCCCTCAAAAATCTACTATTAAATTATGTTTTCTAAAAGTTTCATAATTTATGTTCTAATAATCTTCCCCTGTACAATTTCACAAAAATATTTCCAATGTGGTTTCCATCAAATATATCTTACTGAAGTAAAAAAGGCAGCACATTTCTAAGACCATACATATATGCTGACTTTCACTAATTTTAGGAAACTGAGACATCACAAAAGCCAAACAAGAATGACAGTACTGCTACTATATTTTGTTTGGGTGAGATTAGGGCTTGTTTATTTTCTTTAGGAAGTTGCCATAATACAAGCTCTATTTTTAACTACTCTTATTCATATAAGAGTCTAAACTTGAGCAACTCTAAGTCTGTGATACATTTCTGTTACACTGAACAGGAAGAAAACTTGTGCAACTTGCCATGACTTAATTCTCAAATCTTGCAAGATAACGTGCTCTCACTAGAGTTGCAAAACTAAGATTAAAAAAAGATAAATATTACCTAAAAAAATATAAAGTGATAGAGCCTGATCAAAGTCAGAATACAGAAAATACTTGAGAAATCGTGTGTGTGTGTGTGCGCACGCACGTGCGCAAACACATTACTGTCAAGATCAGCTGGCCAAATCTGACTCAGGGCCACACTGTAAGAAATGTTCTTGGGTCCTGTCCAATCCCTGTCATATCAATACAAAAAAAAAACCATACAAAAGCCTTGAGTTACTTAAACAGATGAGGGAAAGACCATAAGAACAAGGAAACATTTGTAAGAAAAATTACACTAAGATACTGGTATAAACTCTGTTGCGATATTTCTTATGTAACTAAAGAGGATGTCTCTATTTTACATGTTAAGACTTCTGTGAAATCCAGGTCTTCTGGATAATCTCATTTGATAAAGTAGTATCTTCCTTAGAACAGGTCCAATTTCTGTTAAGTTTTCCTTCTCACTTTAGCAGTTATATATTTTAAGATGAAGGTGTCATTCATAACAGAGAAATCAGATTTCTGAAGTACAGGTTAGCTGTCAGGATAGGTATCACAGTTTCCAAGGGGAACAGCCTAATTCTTACCTGCAATTCCAATAAGCCACAAAAGCTATGCGCACTTCTGAGACCAGGTGTCTATCTAATAAGAAAATATACCTAAACCAGCTCTTCTGACAGACTGATTTCTGACTATCTTCTTTCACAACATCAGGAGAAAAACACCTCTGACCAAAGGAGGTATCAGTGTATAGAGCACTGGTCAGAAGTTCAGAAGTCAAATACAAAGCAGCAAATGGAAGCTCATAAAAAGAAAGATCCCTATAAAGCACCTGAAATGTACTGTCAAGTGCACTATAAAGCAGCCAAATACTACGTTCAGCTACATAAAGTATGACAGAAGCAAAGCTGAGCAAGACTGATGGTTTTCAAGATAAATCTAAGTCAAGTAAACATACATCAAAACTCTCACTAGTTCAGAAGAGCCAGGATTTAGCTAAGCCCAAAAGAACTGTTTGGTCATCAATACATAAACTGCCAGAATTCCATTTATCAGGCTCTCTACGTCATTTCCCCCAGATGAAACTAATCTAACAGCCTGCTGCAATGAAAGATATGTTTTCCATTCACCAGAAAATACTATTTCACAAGTGGCAAAATGGTATTTCACTAAAGGTGTAAGAATTATCTCTACAGTTACATTGGAATAAAACCTACTTCTCAAAGTATCTGCAGTTTCAGTTTCAAGGCAATTAAAACAATAATTGACCAAGCACAGGAATCAGAGTGGAGCCCTCTCAACACCTAAGCCCTCAGGATGAAGCATTCTGAAGACCAGGGACTGACAATTCACTCCAAATGCTCTTCAACATCTATATTGCAGCAAAGAAAGTCTGTTGAGGCTCCAGCAGACTAATGAGCAGGGTGGGTATGGAAGCATACTGCGCGAAACAGGAGCAAGAGACAGGGAACTAAAAGAACTACAATTCTTGCAACCCCACAGGTCGCAGGAAAGATTAAATTTTATCCCTTACTTTGGTCTTGGGCACAAGACTAAATTTTGCTTTCTCTACCTCATGAAAGTGGACCTGGTTACAGATCACTGGTAGCATTTAAAGAAAACAGTGATAGTGTGGACTTCACCTTTGCTTGTCATCTTTAACATTATGGCTAAGAAGTCTTCTAATAAATCTTACAGTAAATTATTATGTCTTGCTAGTTTATGAACAATAAAGTTAAGTCTAGCTATAACCTTCTCTCCCATCTCAAACTGGCATGCCCGCAAGGATGTGACTGAAGTGTCTCACAAGCATGACACGGGAGCTCAGCTCTGGCCTAGGTAGCAGAAGCAGCACAAATGCAGCAGCAGGCAGTTCAGTAAGCTCTTGGTGTCAATTTCCTAAACGACTCCGAGCTCTACCTGACTGCTGACAGTACCAAGCCACCTGTCATGAAGCTGCCTACCTACACATTAGCTGGGCAATGAGATACTGAGCTGCAGACATAGCAACAACCACAGGGCAGTTACACTCTATGTTATTAGGCTAACTAACATCTATACCAACACTAGCTTGAAACACAGTCATAAGTTCAAGAGAACAAAATACCACTACACTGGGAATCAGCTTCTTATTACCCTGGGAAACTAGATTCAGGTGGTGGAATCAGAGGCAGTTGACTTGACCCTTCTTGCCTGAAAAGCATGGGAAAAGGACACATCTCTGTGAAGCTTGGCATACACTACAACTGCGTTACCAACAATTCTTACCTGCAATGTAAAGCCACTTGGTTCTTTTTAAGCTATCTGTGCAAAGACTGAGAGTTTCACATACAGCATCTCAACTAATTAACCCTTCTTAAGAAATGGTATAAACTGAAGATTACACCCTTCTTGACAAATGTTATCATCTAAGTGTCCATTAGTGGATATAAAGCCCTTTGCTCTTGGCTATTAGTAATGCCTTTAGTCACCAAGAAAGCAATAAACGAAATGCAGTGGTCAAAGTTCATCTCCTACTCATTGTTTAAAATATAACAGGGCAAAAAAAATGTTTAAACAAATGGTCTGAGATACCATACAAACACACCCTACTGTTTCATACTACCTGCTTTTACAGTGCTGCCAGGAAAAATAATACAAACAGAGCAGCTATAAAACTAATGAATGTTTATGTTTGCTATTATCTTCTGATTAATTAGTATTAAACACACAGCCATTGCCTTACATTCATTGTCCCACAACTAATCAGGGCAA